GTAAGATAATATAGTATATTTAGTAGTGGCGTAAGATAATGTAGTATATTATAGTAGTGGCGTAAGATAATATAGTATATTATAGTAGTGGCGTAAGATAATGTAGTATATTTAGTAGTGGCGTAAGATAATGTAGTATATTTTAGTAGTGGCGTAAGATAATATAGTATATTTAGTAGTGGCATAAGATAATGTAGTATATTATAGTAGTGGCGTAAGATAATGTAGTATATTTAGTAGTGGCGTAAGATAATGTAGTATATTATAGTAGTGGCGTAAGATAATATAGTATATTATAGTAGTGGCGTAAGATAATGTAGTATATTTAGTAGTGGCGTAAGATAATGTAGTATATTTTAGTAGTGGCGTAAGATAATATAGTATATTATAGTAGTGGCGTAAGATAATGTAGTATATTTAGTAGTGGCGTAAGATAATGTAGTATATTTTAGTAGTGGCGAAAGATAATATAGTATATTTTAGTAGTGGCGTAAGATAATATAGTATATTTTAGTAGTGGCGTAAGATAATGTAGTATATTTAGTAGTGGTGTAAGATAATATAGTATATTATAGTAGTGGCGAAAGATAATATAGTATATCATAGTAGTGGCGAAAGATAATATAGTATATTTTAGTAGTGGCGTAAGATAATATAGTATATAGTGTGATACAGTAGTGGCTAGTAGTAGATAATGTAGTACCTGTGGTCACTATGGTTACTAATGTAGTATATTTTGGGCTAACCGTGAGTATCTGAAGAGTTATAGAAAATCCAAAATTATCCTGTTCGGTTAATTTTCAATCTACATGGCAAAAAAAGGACCCATGACACATCATCTATTTTCAAGTTTTTTTTGCATTTTATGGGGAACAAAATTGTCAAATCGTTTCTGGATATTTCGTTTTCCCATTTATTGATATGCAGTAAGCTGAGCCGATAATAGGCATTAATACAGAGTATTAAACACGTTGCGCCATGCTGATGCTAGGAAACACGTTGTTAGGAAATGTACATTTAGCTTGCTACACAAGTTTTCATCTTGATAATGCTGGAATGTGGACAAAAAGCGATAACAATGTATGTAACCCAGGAATGTATGTAACCCAGGAATGTAACGTTGACCCCGCTGTGCGTTTGAATGTGGGGCAATTTTGAAAAACTTAACTAAAGTACTAGCAAAACTGCATGTTTTGCTCCGTAAACACTGTTTAGAGATTTTACTCCCCCCCCCCCCGGGCTCCTACACCACTTACCCGCCCCCTCTATAGTTTAGTTTACTACTTGCAGAATTTAAGTCTGACTTGTTTGTATACAAATTTGATTCTGTTCATTTTATTCTATTATCATCCTCCAGTCAACATATCGAAACTTCTATTAAAATTTTAAAAGTTCTGTATATTTGAAATTTAAACTTGTTTCTATAATGCATATTTAATTATATTGTTACCTTATTATTAAGCGTACTGAAATCCAACCACTCCCACTGCTGTGGCATTGTGCTGACAGAGAACAAATAAAGATACACACAGACAAGTTATCTATAAACAAAGTAACATAAACTATTTAGAAAACAGAGAACTTTAAACTTATAAATAGTAACGGTCAACTATAGGAAAATATGATCATCATAAGAAATGTGAATAATGAGGACACCAGCAGATAATAACTAAATTTAGCAACAAATTAATATGATAAGGTCACTGTTGTATAAATCCTAGTTACGCAATACACATTCTGTGTGTTGAGGCATACAGTGTCTTTAAATAACACTTGAAACACACAAAAGTGAAAAGAGAAGGAAATCCCAAACTGTTTTATTCTATAGAATATTAGAAACGAGTTATAACACACAAGTAAAACACAATACAGCGTAAATGGAAGCTGTAGATCATTATATGATTACAGCTGAATGTAAGCTAATCAGTCGGTTTATTGGTTTTAGACAGACAATATACTAGCTACAGACAACAAACAGACACTATTCTGGCACGTGTCCAAGCAGGATATGCTTGTATTGACACCAACCTGCCAACATTTTCATCACAGCTACTGTGCAATAATATACTAGCTACTGCCAACATTTCATCACAGCTACTGTGTAATAATATACTAGCTAATGTAGAACCTCGGATTTCTTTTTTACATGACAGAAGGGCAACCACACAGAATCGGTCCAGTTCACATCACCTTATAATTGAAAAGGGGGAGGTATGTCAAAAATCCACTTGATGAAAGGACCTGTAACTAGTGAACACCAACCAGCTATTCATCGAGGAAGAGAATGATATGCTCCATTCCTGCCCCCTAGGGAAAGGTCCAAGGGACAAATTTCAAAATCTCAGTGGAATTTAGATTCTCAGTTTGAGATTTGAATAACGTTACTGTAATGTTCCAAACTGGCGCTCATAAGGAGTGCTGACTGGCGCTGACAAGGTGCACTGACTGGCGCTGACAAGGTGCACTGACTGGCGCTGACAAGGTGCACTGACTGGCGCTGACAAGGTGCGCTGACTGGCGCTGACAAGGTGCACTGACTGGCGCTGACAAGGTGCACTGACTGGCGCTACCAAGGTGCACTGACTGGCGCTGACAAGGTGCGCTGACTGGCACTGACAAGGTGCACTGACTGGCGCTGACAAGGTGCACTGACTGGCGCTGACAAGGTACACTGACTGGCGCTCACAAGGTGTGCTGACTGGCGCTGACAAGGTACACTGACTGGCGCTGACAAGGTGCACTGACTTGCGCTACCAAGGTGCACTGACTGGCGCTGACAAGGTGCGCTGACTGGCACTGACAAGGTGCACTAACTGGCGGTGACAAGGTGCACTGACTGGCGCTGACAAGGTATGCTAACTGGCGCTGACAAGGTGCACTGACTGGCGCTGACAAGGTGCACTGACTGGCACTGACAAGGTGCACTGACTGGCGCTGACAAGGTGCACTGACTGGCGCTACCAAGGTGCACTGACTGGCGCTGACAAGGTGCGCTGACTGGCACTGACAAGGTGCACTAACTGGCGCTGACAAGGTGCACTGACTGGCGCTGACAAGGTATGCTAACTGGCGCTGACAAGGTGCACTGACTGGCGCTGACAAGGTGCACAGACTGGCGCTGACAAGGAGTGCTGACTGGCACTCACAAGGTGCACTGACTGGCGCTGACAAGGTGCACTGACTGGCGCTGACAAGGTGCACTGACTGGCGCTGACAAGGTGCACTGACTGGCGCTGACAAGGTGCACTGACTGGCGCTGACAAGGTGCACTGACTGGCGCTACCAAGGTGCACTGACTGGCGCTGACAAGGTGCACTAACTGGCGCTGACAAGGTGCACTGACTGGCGCTGACAATGTATGCTGACTGGCGCTGACAAGGTGCACTGACTGGCGCTGACAAGGTGCACTGACTGGCGCTGACAAGGTGCACAGACTGGCGCTGACAAGGTGCACTGACTGGCGCTGACAAGGTGCACAGACTGGCGCTGACAAGGTGCGCTGACTGGCGCTGACAAGGTGCACTGACTTGCGCTGACAAGGTGCGCTGACTGGCACTGACAAGGTGCACTAACTGGCGCTGACAAGGTGCACTGACTGGCGCTGACAAGGTATGCTAACTGGCGCTGACAAGGTGCACTGACTGACTGGCGCTCATAAGGTATGCTAACTGGCGCTGACAAGGTGCACTGACTGGCGCTCACAAGGTGCACTGACTGGCGCTGACAAGGTGTGCTGACTGGCGCTCACAAGGTGCGCTGCCTGATGCTGACAAGGCGCTGACAAGGTATGCTGACTGGCACTGACTGGCGCTGACAAGGTGCACTGACTGGCGCTGACAAGGTATGCTGACTGGCGCTGACAAGGTGCACTGACTGGCGCTCACAAGGTGCACTGACTGGCGCTCATAAGGAGTGCTGACTCATAAGGTGTGCTTACTGGCGCTTACAAGACTATTGTTCTAAGAGTATCACAGGAATGTCAGATCGGTATCATGAGGATTGTGTTACATCACTGGTGTTACGCTGCTGTCCCTAAATTTCTCAAGTCTCCTCTGGTCTGCAATCATTTAACAAGGGTAAGTAGAAACAATAGAAGCTGCTGCCAATAAATCTACAGTTTATTAATGTTCAGTGTTTTTTATAGTCCACAATGGTACAGAGTATTAATTGACTGGAGTCAATGGTTTCTATACCCAAAATTGTGTAGCAAGTTGCAAACTGTTCGAAAAAGTGCGGAACACGGCTGCACTGTTAGAGAATTGTGGCAGAAAGTCTACATTACATGCTTTAATTTATGTCATGTGATTTGAAGATATAAAATATATAAAATGCAAGTGGATATGATTTATTAAAGCCCTCTAATTTAGAGGGCTGGCCTTATTCTAAGTTCACGGCCAATTCTAAGTTCACGAGATTATAGCTTGGTTGAATTCAGCACAATAAACTTGAAATTTTGGCACAATTTTATAATAGAATTATAAGTTATAACCAAAGGTATCCATTGTGTGGCAGGCGTGCAGTGATTTAAACAAATTTATTGTTGATTTTTGTACAATTCTGAACAGAACCCCTAATGTCTGCTCATGCTCTAAACAATTTTTCTTCTAGTCCTAATCTGAGCCTTGTCTCTATAAACTTAACTGAACTAGCGTTTCGGTGTGTGCAAAAGCTTCCAGGCACGCGCATTCCTTGCCCCGTTAGTTACCTGTCCTTCTTAAACCAAACTAGCAGTCAAGGACAAAAAGTCATACACCAAATGGGCATTATATTTTATGAATTGTTTTACATCTTTATATACTGTAAAAATGTGCTAAAATTAAATTTCTTGTTTCAAAAATTTCTTGTTTCATATCATCAAAATATATATGATCAACCCACTCATAAGAGCGAAGATTACCAATTTGGAATTTGAGCAGGAACTGGAGATTAACAAGTATGCATCATGAAACATAAACTTGAATTTATAAAAGTAGTTTAGATCAGGAAAACTAAAAACAAACCTTAAAGACAACGTCGACAAGAGACCAATCACCGGAACTACATCCACCACTTCCTTCAGATGTCATTTACAGTAAAACTAAGGTAGAAGGTTTGCACAAATGTAATTTCGATTTGAAATGATTAAATTCAAAATATTTGTAGCGAGGGGCCTATAATATAAAGTTGATCGGTAAATTTACATCTTTTTTTAGCTTTTTAGAAAGTATCACTTTCAGAGTTTCAGAGCTTTAGGCCTTCAAAAAAACCTGGCGGCCAAACTCCAAAATTTGCAATGCAAAATTCAGAATTTGGCCGATAAATTCTTTCAAGGGCCCAACTCAAAACTCTGCCCCAAAACTCAAGGTCGAAACGCGATTCCACGTTGATTCTGAAAATTTCATGCAAAAATATTGAAACCCCACTGAGCTCCACTGCTCCGAGCGAAACCAGCCTCGCAAATATCGCAAACGGAGACATGGGCGACCCCGTCAATTTCCCGCGATTATTTGAACACAGAATCCACAGCTAGGCAGATACTGAGCTGGTGGTCGTAGAGAGTGTGAAGTGTGGGCTTGCCTTCCATATGGAGTTGGTTTCATTCAAAGGTATCGACATTCAACCAACTCATGGGCCAAAATCCAAAATCGAGCAAATCCGGTGCGCATGCCCAAACATGGTCACATGGTCCCCGGCTCACAACTGAGTCATTCCCCGTCCAATCTTGATGAAATTCGTATGCGGGTTCGGGGGACTGCTAGCTGCAGGTGGAGCACCTGAGGTCTGGTTTTTGGGCATGTTCAGGGTATTTGGCTGGATTGGGACTGGTTTGGACCAGGTGTGGGCGTGGCTGCCGCGCGGGTACCGTTTGGCGGTTGGGGTCTGGGGCCCCCTCAGGGGTTCGGTTGCCGATCCTGGTTTGTTGGACAACCGCCACCCCGAAACCAAGCTTCACAAAAAAATCAGGGTGAACCCCCCTTTGCTCTTGCTGTGGCAGTAAATTTTGTAGGGTCTAGTGTTTTATCGGATAGCAAACCGGCTAGGTCAGTAATATTTTTGGGATGGAAGTTAAATTTTTCTCTAACTGAGGAGTAGAGTAAACAGTCAGTTAGAACATGAATTTCGTCCTCAATAGGCTTAAGCCCCTTGCTGAAAAAGCAGAAAGTGCACCATCGATGTTCTCTTGGTACTAGGGGGGTTTCGTAACGGCCCCTCTCAATGTAAAGATTGTGGCAGCTAATACGAAACCTTGTTAAGCTTTTCCGAGCATCAGGGATCTTAACCACTCCTAAGTATGTTTCTGGTTCAAAATCATGTTTAATTTGATTGTAGAATTCTAATTTAGGTGAGGATGCCTTGGCAGTCTATTACTACTATACACAATAGTTGCCCCTAGCAGCCCAAATTTGCACTCCTCATTTCTAGAATTCATTCCTTAAAACATGTTTTTCCTCATTGCACCCTCTTTGACTTTGAGATCTATTCGAATATAAATACCATCCGATGACAAATTTTGAAATTACGATAACAATTTAAAAGTTTTATAGTTAAAAACGCCGAAACCTGATCTGAGGGCTTTCAAGCCCGTAGTACAATCATGACTATCAAGTATGTGACTAAATAAGTGTGAGCTGCTGCAACTGGACTACTGCAATTGAACGTTATTTGGAGTCCAAGCATCTTTTAGGTCAGCTGCCTGTGATTGTATTAGTAGAGCTTTGGGTCTTAATTTTATCAGGTTACCAGAATTTTCTAGGCTAATGCTGGAAGTGAGAATTGTTTTATGGACATTGTTCCAAAGCTTGGTCGTATTATACAAAAAGGTATTTCATTTATATTGAAGAATGACATACTGAAGCTTCTTTAAATTATTTTTTATTCCTATTGTATTGCTGTGTAAGTTTGATTCTAATTCTGATTCTAATGACCGTCAGACGTAAATTTTCCAAATAATTTATTATTAAATAAAAAGTTCTACACAAGGGATAGTTAAAAACAACGCCCAAGTCTAATATTTCCCTAAAATAAATAACTAAACATCAAAACTTCGTTTAATTGTAATTTATGCCACTATCTCTTGTCATGAGCTAAATTACGGAGATAATACAGATCAAATATATTATTCATATAAATATTTCTTTTACATAAATCATGCACAATCAGCGAAAATAAATTGCTTTGGGGTGTTCCTCTTCTCCCTGGTAAGTCCAGTATAAAAATGGCAAAAAGGAAGAAAACGCTGATCCTTCAACAGGACCCCGCAAAACATGTTTTAACATTCTCCACCGACTATGGACTACGGGACAATTGTTCTGACTATGGTTCAGCATCAGCGTTTATACAAGTTTTTGTTGGAGATGACTCAAATTTTTTTTAAATTCTTTGGGTGTGAAATTAATTTAAATCGGTGTATTTTTGGACACTGATTCCGAAACAGGCTAGTAAAAATGATTTTTTTCAATTTTAGGGAGGGACCAAAAGGAGAGGGGGGCACCAACAGGGGGGGCACCTTTTCGGCAGGGGGGTGCCAACAGGCAACGTTACGCCAATGGGCTTAGACATAAAATTCTTCTACATCGTACTTTTATTTAATTAAATTTTTTCAATTGCAAGAGTTTCTGTTTTACAATTGTTTAAAAAAGTAAAAATGAATTTGATTGTTTAGGGCTCGGGTTAGGGTTAGGGTTGTGGAAAGGGTTATGGTTAGCTTCGGGGTTGCTCTAACCAGAGCCCTCTCGCTTGCAGTAGCGCGCGACCGCCGTATCTACTTGTGAAACAAGCGCGTCACGCAGTACGCGTAGACACATGGCTATGTGAAGCTTCGGGGTTATGGTAAGGGTTAGGTATGTAAAACCGTTTTGTACGGCTGCAAAACCATAAAAACCAAAGTTACGTGAAATTTTTGGGCGAGCGAATTAGTTTAAGAGCAATTAAATTGTTATTAATAAATACCAAAATTTAGAACTTGTTTTCCTGAACACTAAAACTTATTTTCCTTTAAAACGACCTCTAGCGTGGCTCTGAATAATTATTTGGAACCCTAACCCTCTGATTTAACGGGTGATACTATATTTGTTTCAAACAGGAATAGTAAGTAAGTAAGTGAAAATTATGACATAACATCATCACAAGTGTCTACAAAATATTATTGCACTAAATAGAAAAATAATTTAAATAAATATATTTTTCCATCAACATTAATAATTTATCAAATTCAATTTTATTAATTGATAAAATCTAATACATTATATATAAATAATTCATTAAAACTTCCCAGTGGAATAAAGATTTACAAAACGCTTCTTTGCCACAAAAGGATGAAATCAAAAATATTCATTATGTCTCTCCTTATTGCTTAAATAACTGGGTCCTTCAATTTTCCCTAAAACTTCATTTGAAACATTCCAAAAATAAAAATCATTTACATTGTTTTTAGAAATCATTTCTTTCTTAAATCCTTCTAATCTAACTTTAAAACTTAAAACTGTCGAGCAGTTCTTGACATCTGGAGGAAGTTTGTTCCAATAAGGAATGACTCGCTCCGGAAGAAAAGAAACGAACAAGAATTTAGCTAGATCTCATATATATGCTCATGTATATCTTATATATATTTCATGTATATCTCATATATGCTACAACTGACGCAGAACCGCGTACTGCACAGTACTTCATGCTTGATCAGTGGTACCGATGTTCACAGAGGCGCGCGCTCAATCACAAATCATGAGTTCGCGGTTTTTGGAATCTCTCTGTTCACTGTTATTTGTTATTGGCATTGCAGTGTTCACAGCCTGTACTGCGTTCACATAGCCATGTGTATACGCGTACTGCGTGACGCGCTTGGATGAGTGGGGAAGTTATATTTGATGAGAAGATTAAAGATGTTGGTGCACCAAGGAAGGTTAACGGGTGATACTCGTAAAATACCTGTCGACGAGTCCAACTCCGCGCGCGTCCTGGTAGGTTGTAAACCTACAACAAGGAAGGCCCAGCATAATCTGCTCGTGAAATGCAGCGGAGAGAAGTTCATTTTCAGTGCTTTCAAGGCGACTACAGACTATAGAAATCTGTTGCAAGTTTGCAGGCTTGCTCTAACCAGAGCCCTCTCGCTTGCAGTAGCGCGCGACCGCCTTGTGAAACAAGCGCGTCACGCAGTATGCGTAGGCACATGGCTATGTGAATTTGCAGGCTTCAAAGAAAAGGGGGTGGCGCCCACTTTCGCCCCAGCAGCCTATATTTAATGCTTTTGAATGGACAGACAAAGACCACTTGATAAATTTAAGGTGGAATCTTTCATAGTGGTCTTGTGAGATGTACTTGAGAGTATGCTGGGGGTTGACTTTGCTATTTGTTTTGGAGAGGTATCTCATTGTTTTTGAGTGGGGACATAAGATTTGGCAGCCATAGAGCAGGATCGGTTTTATTAGAGAGTCAAATAGCCTTAATACAAGCCATCAGCTCAGTATTTGCTGCTGTAAAAGATCCATTTCTGTGGTATAATTGTAATATCCTACAAAGTCAGCATGCTATATTATCTCGCAAAACTCGTTTAATATCTTGACAATATTTAAAGTTTATGGTTTTAGGTTTAGACGCGGCGCACCGCTTATATGTTATAGCCTCTTCATTTTCTGTTTTCAGCGCTGTGTTGCTACACGCTGTATAGCATGTGGGTCAAGCGCGGTGCCGCGTCTAAGCAGCAAAAGAGTTATTTATTTTAAAATTTATTTTTGTATCTCAAAAATGATGTAAAGTTTTTAATATGACGTAGAATTAAAGCTATTTCCGTACAGCCTAAGTATGCTCGTTAGAAAAATTATGAACATGCTAGCTTTCTTTATTTTTGTTAGTCGGTTGACATCTTGGGTTGTACTGGATGTAACAAGTTTATTATCGGATGTCTACTTACTGAAAGGGTTGCCAGACTTGTAAATAGGAGTAATGATACTGGTGTGCCATGGATAGTAACCGGAGACCAGTGAGTGGTTGAAGTTTTTGAGGATGGCTTTGAGACAAAGCGGAGATAGGCTCAGTGGCGTAACTTAGGGACCCGCAGACCCCGCTGTGCGGGGGGGGGCGCCGTATAAGGGGGGCGCAATTTT